AGTTTGCCGACCACTGCCCTAGACCCAACTACTTTACATGCACATTCTCTGTCCTGCTTGCCTGCTCTACCACTCATCTACTCAGGCATTCATCAAGTAAAGATTTGTCGATATCCACTCTGTTCCAGGCGTCATGGTAAGGCATAAGATCTGATCCCTGCCTTTGTGTCACTTAACATCTAATGGCTTCATATGTGCAAACTGATAAGTCTAGTATAGTGTAATCCATGCCATCACTGTATTAAGGTAAGGGCACCTTACTTCATGTAAAAATCCCGTGAGAGCCCCAAGGAATGAGAATAATTGCTGCTGGGGGTTGGGCAAGGCTGCTTCACAGAGGAGGGGACATTTGAGTTCTTGAAAGAGTTCGATACCAGATGACATGAGACATAGTCAAGGGACAGAAAATGAGGAAGGTGCTGAAAACAGGATGCGAATGATGGACACAGTGGCCAGTAGAGACCACTGCAGAGGCAGGTTATCTGGCTCTTGATGAGCTTCAAGTGGCAGGGTAAGGATAAGGTGTGTGGATTTTCTTTCATCGGTTATGGAGAGCCATACACTTTTTTGAGGAGGGTTGATCAACTTTGTGTTTTAGAACAAAAACCCTAGCTGCATTGTGATGGCAGGTGGGAATGGAGAGGCTGGGGCAGAGAACCAGTCAGGAGGCTGAGGGAGACTAGCACAGCAAACAATATACAAGCCCCCTTTAGGAAAGCCAGGCTGGGCAAGTGCAGGTAAGGAGTGAAGTGGCTTGGATCTTCCCTAGGATTAGAACCCCTCTAAGAGCATGCCACTATGTTAGCATCTATGGAAGAGTCAGGAAAATGGAAGGAGGTCTTGGTCTATGCACCCTTGAGGCTTACATTGGTTGAGTTGTGCTGCCACATACATCTTTAAAAAAAATCCTCACCCGAGAATATATTCATTGGTTTTGAGAGAGAGAAACATTGATGTGAGAGAGAAACAGCCATTGGTTGCCTCCCCCTATGTGCCCAACTGCAACCTGGGTATGTGTCTGAGATCTTTCCGTGTGCAGGACGATGCTCCAACTAAGCCACACTGGCCAGGGCCTGCCACATATCTTTTAGCATAATTGTTTTTGCTTCTATTTTCCACTAAATCATGAGTTTCTCAAGGGCAGGGACTGGGTCTTGTTGATCTCTAAGCCTTACACCTGATACAGAAAGGTGTTGAGCAGATTTTAATTAGTGAGTGGAAGATAATCAGAATAACCACTAATGTTTATTGAGCACTTACTCAACAAGCATCTTAATTGCATTAATTTATTTTAATCGGTCTCAACATCTCTAAGATAGGTACAATGAGGAAACTGAGG